CTGACAAAGACAACATTTAATAATCACTTACAATAGTTCCTGAGGGGCCCGGTCTGCCCTGGGAGCCTTCTTTGCCTAGCAGGCCCTGAGGGGGAGCAAAACACAAGCAGGTTAGAATAAAACATGTGGGCGTTCAGGTGTATTCAGTATGTGAGAAGGTGCTGCTCCTGATATTTCCCAGCCTTGACTCAATCTAATCTAACAGACTGACTGTGACCTGGCATATCAGTCTATGGACACTGCTGCAGTAGTTATTGACTCACTCTGACTCCTGCAGGTCCTTCTCGGCCTGGAGCTCCAGGTCTGCCAGAAACTCCCTGAAACAGAGAGCAGAGGTCACTGAAGGTCACACTCACACAGGCTCAATATACACACATTCAACCAATTACAGGAATATTACAATAACCTGACTCATGTGACTGAGTGGAAACTGTGTCAAAATGTTTGATGAATAATTACCAGGACTATAAGAAAAAAAAGAATCTTATTTTTAAGTACATTTTATAATATATAACATTAGAGCTGTCATATCTAAATAAATAGAAAAATAAGAGTAGTAATAATGCTTCTGATCAAATTCATCTTTACATGAATGCCACTAAGAATACGATGAACCATGTCACTTTAATGTCCGGAGTTCACTTCGGGCTGGGACCGAAACAAAGGAAAATATTGATCTGTTCCGTTTGAAACTGTTGTTGCACAAACTCTGTAAGCATAATTCCTTCTGCCGAGTCACTCAGGGAAAAGAAATAGATTTGAACAACAGAAATCGACTTTTGCAAATGGCACCATTATTCAAAATCTGACAACAATTTCCTTCCAAAATGTCATGTTGGTGGTCATGTTGGTGGTAATATACTGTAGAGCAGAAATGACTTGTGGGTGGATCTGTGCAAGCAACAGACAACAGCACACGGTTTAATGTTACGTCAACACAATGATAATTCATTTCAATCTAGAACTAAAACAGTCAAACGTCTTTGAGAAAATGGTAGGAATTTTCTAGGTACTTTATTCAGATGTATGATTCACATGTTGATCATGCAGACCTAACACAATAGTATTCTTTATCAAATGGATGTCTGGAAATGACACAATAATCCCACAGTATAAGTTTTCTCACCTTGACCAAAATGATACCAAACATGCTTCAATGGACAACTTTTATGTTGTGTTTGCAATTTCTATTTTACCTGTATTCCTTGTGGTCCAGCTTCACCTTTCTGTCCTCCCTCTCCTGGAGCACCCTGCACAAAAAAAATGGTACAGTATGTATATGGTTGATATATCATGGAATTACTAAACAACATATTTGCAATCATGAAGACATTTTTACAAATACTGAATCACATCTGAATTAAAAAACAAACTGTCAGGGCAGCTATATTATTCTGTAAAACAAATGTTCTCCAAAAGTACAGAAAACATGAGAAAACATTGTTAAATAGTTAAATATAGGCAAAAGAGTGGGGGTAGTATCAGGTATATACAGCTGATGACCTCAGTTCTATAGTGAGGCAGGGAGCTGGGTGTGTGTGTGTCTTACTGGGCCCCCCATGATGGAGCGTCCACTCGGTCCCTGTGGTCCTTGGGACCCCTGAGGTCCTGGTAAACCTGTGTCCCCGACTGGACCACCTGGTCCCTAGACAGAGAGAGAAAGAGATACAGACTTTAATGTTGGCACGTATGTATTGAACACTTTCCCAGAGGCTTGTTGCTGATTGGCTAACCTCCACAGAAAGATGTATATTATTCCCAGTTCCACAAGAAACATGAGTCTGCCTGTGTTGAGGCCTTTTATATTTGACCATAAATAACAACATTTATTTTGGTTACATTAAATAAAACTGTGTAGACTAGATTGGTAGATGGGAGGAGTCAAAGGAATGTTGTAAAGATTGTTACATTGGCATATTTTTCAAACGGGCTACAGTGAATCTCAAACCAGATATCCGATTGAAAACTGTTTAAAATACTTCCTGGAAACATTACACTTGACAATTTCGCAATTTCATAGCTTTCGACTTGCCAAATGTAAACTGTGAAAGCGGTATTAATAACAAAGACTAAGTTAGTAAGGGCTAAATACTAAATGTCAATATTATCCAAATTGAATGATGTTACTCTAACATCATAAACACTGGAACAAGTGATGAGTATCCGTTTTGTGGCTGATCTGTCATTTTCTAGTCAAAAACATACTTTGACCATTCCTCAGAAAGTAAAGTTAAAGGTTAAATCCAAACACTTCGGTTTTGTTTTATAAAGAGTCATCATGTTCTGCTTTGATATCTTTTTCTGCTGATGGTCATATTTTAAAACCCCATTTCAAGGGTGTAACATTATGGGATTAGTTTTGTTTCATAAAGGTAAAGCAACACTTTCTCAGAATCAAGCAAAACTAAGAGTTTAAGAGAAAAAGAAACTGAGTCAAGCAAAATACATTTAATTTAAAAAATAAAAACATAAGTTGCAAACAAATCATTTGTGTAACCATGTAAACTATAAGTATTTTTTATTTGTTTTAACACCTCTTTTTGTTTGCAGTTCTCTTTGCTTCTTTCTCAATGATCAGACTTTTGATCTCGCTGCAGCTCTTCTCGTTTGCGCTCCCTCATTTTTTGTTTTCAATTCAGACACAAACGTCCCAGGTGGGCGGGACTTTCAGGGGTGCGTCCCCATTGGCTACTCAGTCCTCCGGCGATTGGACAGTGCAGCTGTGGTAGCTGAGCATGGACAGAACACCCCCAGAAGAACCAGCATTTAAATTATTATAATACTACAAGTGAAAATATATGTAAGTATTGATCATTTGTGTTGTTTGTGCTGTACTATACGGTCTGTTTCTTTATTGTGTTAAGTGAGAAATAAGGAAAAGCTGTGCTATGAGAGTTAGCTTTTGCTACCTTTAGATCCATAACAATGCAAGCTAAGTAGCCTACAGTTAGCTACATAGCTAGCAGTGAGTGAGTGTTCAGACACCGGCACACACACTCAAACGGACTCGTGTGCCTGACTCTACCAACAGGCTTTCATGATTCTGTTTAGATATGCAAGTATAAGCCATGATAGCTTATTTTATTAACACGCTCATTTGATATGAAAATCAATGGAGGCTGAGTTAACTTAGTAGGAAAACCTACCGTCCATGATGCCCCTGAGCTGAGTTTTATTTGTTAACTTCATATTTTTCATTTCCTAAAACATTTATTTTCCTCTCATATTAACAGTGTGGATCATTGAGACAGCGTGGCGTCCAGAGGTCTTATCCCGTGTTCCCACTTCCTCTGAGGGGACAACATCAGATCCACTGAGGGGGCATGAAGAAAGACCTGCACCAGCTTCTGTTATCACTTGCTCAGTGTCATTTCATTTGACCAAATGTCTTTACATATACATTTAATAGATTTGATTATTATCCACCTTTTTGTTTTATGTCCTTTATTTAAAACATTCTTTGAGACTTCATCTTCTGGTTCAAATTTCAATAAATGTAATTTGTATAATTACTCTTTTGTCTTTATTATACATGACAATGTTAGAGATTCCATTCAAATCTGTTGATTATTCATATCTTCCTCAGGCTAGGAATAGTATGTCGAGTTTTTAATGCTAAATGTATATCATTTTCTCACATGATATAGAATGAGACAACACAGTTTTTATCCATTGTGTATAAATGCTTCAGCTCTTCAGACCAACATAGTAAGATGTGAGCATGTTCCTAATTGTGTTGGTATGCAACCTAGGTCTGGTCTCTTTAATAAAGCAAATCTGCCACTTTTATATTGTAGAATTTGTTCAATTAAAGCAGTCTATAATTGTTTGTCCTAAACATAGCAATATATGCTTTTGAAATGTAACATGTCTTTGAAAAAATAACAGTATACAGTTTATAATGTGTATCACCTTTAGCTTGAAAATACATAGATGTGTTTTTTTAATATATAAAATAAATAAATAGACAGACACTTTATCAATCCCAAATTGGGAAATTATTTTTACAGCAGCAGTGTGTTCAGGTGTTCAGGTATTAAAATATTTAAAGTTGGAATAAAGTATAAACTACACAACACAAGTATAATGCACAGCAATCCATAAGATAAGTCAGATATTTTCATGAAACTCCCCAGGAGACACCAACACTAACGTGGCTGAGTGGACTCTGGAGTTTGCTGCATGAGTTGCACTGTATGATCTGTGGTGTAGTGGGCTGTCACTCAAAAACTGAGTAGCCAATGGGGACGCACCCCTGAAAGTCCCGCCCACCTGGGACGTTTGTGTCAAAATCAAAAAACAAAAAATGAAGGAGCCAAAAGAGAGAGCTGCAGCGAGAGCAAAAGTCTGATCATTGAGAAAGAAGCAAAGAGAACTGCAAACAAAAATATATGTTAAAACAAAGAAAAAATACTTATAGTTTACATGATTACACAAATGATTTGTTTGCAACTTATAGTTTTATTTTTGAAATTAAATAGATTTTGCTTGACTCAGTTTCTTTTTCTCTTAAACTCTTAGTTTTGCTTGATTCTGAGAAAGTGTTGCTTTACCTTTATGACACAAAACTAATCCCATATGACATCTGATTATTTGATATGATGGCTGAGAGGAAGTGACGGTAGAGATGTTATCAGAAGATGTCATGTTAGTAGTCAATATTTGAGTCAAAGCATAATGTTGCTTCAGGATGCTATGTTAAAAAACCAGGGCATTTTAAAACCATCCGTCTTTTCATGTTGTTTTTTTTGCATGTTTCTATAAACATTTTGCATATTCAGTGTTCTTTATTCTAGACTTTGCAGTCTATTTGATCAAACTAGAGCAGCAGCATTGATATTTAAACGTGATCAGTGAATGATCAGCGTCCTGCAAACCCTTTTGAATTCTCCAGCATGCTTTACAAACCACATCCTTATCAGAAAATCAAGGTTATCAGCTTTCATACTTGCATGTTGACTGAGGACGGGTTTCATAAGCTCAAAGGAAGTTTGAAAATATCGTAGTTACACAATTTGTTTTGACCATATATTCATGCTACTCCATACTTCTTGTTGAACACAGAGCAAAAGCATTGGACTTTTTCGTTTTTTCTTGCCAAATGTCTTCCAACATTTATGATGACATAAACTTGAATGTGAGATACACCAAGGGAGCGAGAGAGGACAGGGGACAGAGAGAGGAGAGACTTGTCGACATCTACGATAGTGCGGGCACCGAAGATCGAGTTCTCAAACAGGATGGAGGTACGTAGGTATAAAATACTGTACACAATTTGTACATGTCTTAAAGACTATGTACTTCAAAGCCTGTATAAGATTAATTTGTAGTTTGCCTTACATCTGACACGTTTTACACTGTTATACATTTGACCACCTTTACACTTAAGCAATTAATAGTTAGACATGTATTTATATGTTCTTTTCTTTTTACGATTATCCTTTTAATTATTAATGAATGTGTGACAAAGATTACCTTTGAAATATTAAAATGCACTCACTGTAACATAAGGGTTGGATCACATGTGGTCGCACACTGAGCTCCAAATGTATACTACTGATTTCTCGTCCTGTAGTTTATTCACAACAGCAAATTGACAAATCAAGCATATCTAAAATACCATGATGAAAGTGAAATATCTTAACATTAGAAAGTGTACCCACAAAGCAGGAAACAATTGATACAAATATGTTTAGTGTGTGGAGACCTCTTAGGCCATAACCCAAAAAACCTTGCTGTTTGTGAATTTGTCCCACGTTGAGGTTTGATTAATTGTATATAACATTACATTTAGTTTAGTTGACGTTTTAGTCCAAAGCATCTTGCAACAGGTGCAATCAACCATGAATATATATGCTTAACCTTTATGTTGAACACACAAAAAAGTGACGCTTTGTTTCTCATTTTATCAATGTGATTAACAATGAACACATAGCTCACATTTGGCATCATTATCAAGTATTAATGCTCAGTTTTTATGCCTGAGAAGCTGCTGTCTGACATTGAGGTCACCTATTTGTCTTTTTGGGGAGTTTTGCCTGCACTTGGCTGGCATTATTTTCTCACTTCCAACTTCTATCTTGTTGGTGGAGAATACGCTGACATGAAGGAGGAGAAGCCCAATAGCTACTCCAAACATTTGTTATCAAAATGTGCTCTATGTGTACTTTGCACCTCCAGGAGCACGCAGTGAAAATCATCCTCCATCCGTCCAAAGAACCCGCGTCAGAGCTGCTGCACTGACTTTAGGTCTGCTGTGTCTCCTGCTGCTGGTTGGAGTCATTGTCCTGTCCACACTCCGTGAGTTCCTCCTCTTTACTCTAATGATCAGGGCATTCAAGATATTGGTTTGATGTTAAAATCGTTTTGTTTTGGTTATTACCAGATATTTCAATGCAGACCAAAATTGAGGAGCTGCAGACCAGAAATGAGGAGCTGCAGACCAGTGTTGAGGAGCTGCAGACCAGTGTTGACAAGCTGAAGAACAGTTACTGCTCGGATACAAATAACCAGACAGGATGGAGGAGATTAGGATGCCGTTGTTACTTCAAATCTACTGAGGTGAAGAACTGGACAGAGAGCAGGAGAGACTGTCTGGAGAGAGGAGCAGAACTGGTGATAATAGGCAGCAAAGAAGAACAGGTGAGTGTTTGTGAGGTAATGTAAGTCTTTGCATGTGCAGTGTAAGAGTGCAAGATGTTTGATACATGCAGCTAATCACTTTGACTTTGATGACTCTGAGCTTTATACAGTATTTGTGACACGTCATACTTTCACTTCAATGTATTTTAGTCAAAACATTTAAAATATGTTTTACTCCAAAAACATTGTTTGATTGTATTATTTAGATTGCATTTGAAGATCTGATAACAGTAAATATATAATTATACAAAATCATGCTGTTGTCTGGTAAAAATAGATTAGAAAAACAAAACACGTTTTCTTTTGATACCTGGATATCATTTGCAAACTTACTTTTTCACTTTAACAAACTTGAGTGCATATACATTCATTAGATATGTTGTAAAGATTTTCCTAATATGACTATTTTAGTTGTTGCAATTGTTTTAAAAGTCCTGGTTAAGCTGTTCACTATAATTGTCAGTACATTTTAAATGATGATTGTTTTTGCAACATTTTCAGGATTTTACTAGTGAACTGAGTAAAGCTGAAACTTCCTGGATCGGTCTGCGGGCAGTGACAAACAAAAAGCGTTGGGTTGATGAATGGAAATGGGTGGACGGCTTACATCCCACATTCAGGTAAGAAACATTTAGATTATACTTGTATTATTTTTACTAATATATTAATAATATAAAAAATGTATCTTAATATAACATTTAAATACTAGAAAGAAATCCCTGTTAATGATAATTAATCCTTCAACTTGGAATTTGTATATAATTGAATATTGTCAATTTGTATTAGCACTGCTTCAATTCAACCCATGGTTTAAAGATGACATCACAACAACACGATGTATGACTCTGTTGGGCTGAAGCCAGCATTACTTTGTTTCTGTGCACTATATGTACACACTCTGTACAATTGAAATGATGTTGTGCCACCACATGGCTCATACCTAAAAGCAGGATTTGCCAGTTATGTTTTGTACATACAACATTGAAAGAGGTTGAGCGACTGACCTCAGCTTTTGCCACCATGGATAATGAAGTTGAAATCAAATCTTCTATTCTGAGGTGTACCAAGTGCAAGACCCTAATGAAGTCAACATGTCCCTTAAGTGTCATTCTTAAATTACATTTACAAGACATTGCACTCACAATAATAATAATATAATAATAATGGGTTCCATTTATAAAGTACTTCATATTTGATTTCAAATCCTGAAGTGCTACAAGCAGTGAGCATGAACAGTATAAATAGACATTACACAACACGGTAGAATTAATAAAAAGCAATGAACTGATAAATAAACAAGAACTGCTTCTTTATCAAATATAATCTTTTGTGTTCCGTGCTTTTTCTACAGTGCCTGGAAGAGTGGCCTGGACATAAAACCTCTGCACGGGGCTCTGTCCACAGCATATGTAGATCTGGACGGAACATGGACACAAACCAACAATGGATCTAAAAGATGGATCTGTGAGAAACAGATCTCCTTTGTGTGAGATGCTATTTGATTGTGATGTAAACCCTTTGATGCATGCCATTTTGACTTCTCTTTTTCCAATCATTCTAGCTGTCCTCACATTAAAACCTATATAATAAAGGCAACCATGAGAAAATGAACTGTCCTGAATCACTCAGAAGGGGAAACTGTACAAAAAGAATAATGCTAAAAAAGGTCAGAGAGATTCCAAAATGAAAAAGGATCCAACATTGTACCATTACTAGATTTGGTTTGATGGAAGCAGTAAAGCAAATATCAGCGTGTCACAATAATCATTTCAGGCCTGAACTACAGTAGTGAAAATACTGTATGTTATTGTCAGGGTTGGGAGGGTCATTTTGACTGTTTTGTTAAAAGATCTAGTATAATCCAGACATCAAAATAAGAAAGCAACTTCAATTGATATGTTTATGTTACTTTTGGATTACCTCAATAACAAAGATGCAAATTAAAACAGGAGAAAATAAATATAGGTAAGATGACTTTGATTTAAACAAAAATGTTAATTAGCTTTTTAGGCTTCAGTGATACTTTAAGCAGTGTTGTTGTTTGGAGTGTGCTGCACGGGTTGACTCAGTATCAAAATAAAAGTTGGAGAATAACTTTTCTTCCTCAAACGTTGTTGAAAATGTTTGATGACTTGTTTAGATATATAGATAAGATACTTTATTTATTCCAAAATTGGGAAATGATTTTGTTCAAGGAGCAGTGTCAAGTAATACACAAGTTACATTTTTAAAAGATACAATAATAAAAATTAAATTAAAAGAAAAAGTAAGGACATTTGTGTTTGGTAGATTATTTCTTTGTTGTAGCAATGTTTTTTGGCAATAAATATTATACTGTTGGGAAGCCTGTTTTCTTACCTTTCCAACGGTACCACATTTGTGAGGAACTTGCATTTGTGGGATGAGCAGCAGAGCTAAGTATGTGGGCTGCGCCCATGACAAATGTGACAAATCTCCTCTGCCAATGCCAAACAGCTTTTTTCTGTTGACTCTTGTTTGGTGTTGTTTGGTGGATTGGATGATTGAAGTCTGATAAAACCAGACATATTGGAAACAATTTATTGATACAAATGTATTCATTTAACAAGCAGCCTCAGTAGCGTGTGGAAGAACCAAACACAGCCACAACAGCCTCTCCTCCTCATGCTGTCACCAGCCTGCTCACACTCTGCTGTGGGATGGCATCCCATTCTTCAACCAGCATTGTTGTGTTGGTCCCTCTGGCACGGACAGCAGGGCCAAGTTGATCCCACAAGTGTTCAATGGGGTTGAGGTCAGGACTGCAGGTAGGCCATCCCATCCTCTCCACTCCTCCTCTATCGGTGCAGCAATAAGCAAAGCGTTCCCTGCGTCTTCTCCACACTGTGACCCTACCATCCAAGTGCCTTACGCAGAATCTGGACTCATCGCTGAACATAATGTTCCTCGGCATGTTGAGGTTCCAGTGCTCTGAACATAATGTTCCTCCACATGTTGAGGTTCCAGTGCTCTGAACATAATGTTCCTCGGCATGTTGAGGTTCCAGTGCTCTGAACATAATGTTCCTCGGCATGTTGAGGTTCCAGTGCTCTGAACATAATGTTCCTCCACATGTTGAGGTTCCAGTGCTCTGAACATAATGTTCTTCCACATGTTGAGGTTCCAGTGCTCTGAACATAATGTTCTTCCACATGTTGAGGTTCCAGTGCTCTGAACATGTTCCTCCACATGTTGAGGTTCCAGTGCTCTGAACATAATGTTCCTCCACATGTTGAGGTTCCAGTGCTCTGAACATAATGTTCTTCCACATGTTGAGGTTCCAGTGCTCTGAAGATAATGTTCCTCCACATGTTGAGGTTCCAGTGCTCTGAACATAATGTTCCTCCACATGTTGAGGTTCCAGTGCTCTGAACATAATGTTCCTCGGCATGTTGAGGTTCCAGTGCTCTGAACATAATGTTCCTCGGCATGTTGAGGTTCCAGTGCTCTGAACATAATGTTCCTCCACATGTTGAGGTTCCAGTGCTCTGAACATAATGTTCTTCCACATGTTGAGGTTCCAGTGCTCTGAACATAATGTTCTTCCACATGTTGAGGTTCCAGTGCTCTGAACATGTTCCTCCACATGTTGAGGTTCCAGTGCTCTGAACATAATGTTCCTCCACATGTTGAGGTTCCAGTGCTCTGAACATAATGTTCTTCCACATGTTGAGGTTCCAGTGCTCTGAAGATAATGTTCCTCCACATGTTGAGGTTCCAGTGCTCTGAACATAATGTTCCTCCACATGTTGAGGTTCCAGTGCTCTGAACATAATGTTCCTCCACATGTTGAGGTTCCAGTGCTCTGAACATAATGTTCCTCCACATGTTGAGGTTCCAGTGCTCTGAACATAAGGTTCCTCCACATGTTGAGGTTCCAGTGCTCTGAACATAAGGTTCCTTCACATGTTGAGGTTCCAGTGCTCTGAACATAATGTTCTTCCACATGTTGAGGTTCCAGTGCTCTGAACATAATGTTCTTCCACATGTTGAGGTTCCAGTGCTCTGAACATGTTCCTCCACATGTTGAGGTTCCAGTGCTCTGAACATAATGTTCCTCCACATGTTGAGGTTCCAGTGCTCTGAACATAATGTTCTTCCACATGTTGAGGTTCCAGTGCTCTGAACATAATGTTCCTCCACATGTTGAGGTTCCAGTGCTCTGAACATAATGTTCCTCCACATGTTGAGGTTCCAGTGCTCTGAACATAAGGTTCCTCCACATGTTGAGGTTCCAGTGCTCTGAACATAAGGTTCCTTCACATGTTGAGGTTCCAGTGCTCTGAACATAATGTTCCTCCACATGTTGAGGTTCCAGTGCTCTGAACATAATGTTCCTCCACATGTTGAGGTTCCAGTGCTCTGAACATAAGGTTCCTCCACATGTTGAGGTTCCAGTGCTCTGAACATAAGGTTCCTTCACATGTTGAGGTTCCAGTGCTCTGAACATAATGTTCCTCCACATGTTGAGGTTCCAGTGCTCTGAACATAATGTTCCTCCACATGTTGAGGTTCCAGTGCTCTGAACATAAAGAGATACAGACTTTAATGTTGGCACATATGTATTGAACACTTTCCCAGAGGCTTGTTGCTGATTGGCTAACCTCCACAGAAAGATGTATATTATTCCCAGTTCCACAAGAAACATGAGTCTGCCTGAATGTCTGTCTGTGTTGAGGCCTTTTATATTTGACCATAAATAACAACATTTATTTTGGTTACATTAAATAAAACTGTGTAGACTAGATTGGTAGATGGGAGGAGTCAAAGGAATGTTGTAAAGATTGTTACATTGGCATATTTTTCAAACGGGCTACAGTGAATATCAAACCAGATATCCGATTGAAAACTGTTTAAAATACTTCCTGGAAACATTACACTTGACAATTTCGCAATTTCATAGCTTTCGACTTGCCAAATGTAAACTGTGAAAGCGGTATTAATAACAAAGACTAAGTTAGTAAGGGCTAAATACTAAATGTCAATATTATCCAAATTGAATGATGTTACTCTAACATCATAAACACTGGAACAAGTGATGAGTATCCGTTTTGTGGCTGATCTGTCATTTTCTAGTCAAAAACATACTTTGACCATTCCTCAGAAAGTAAAGTTAAAGGTTAAATCCAAACACTTCGGTTTTGTTTTATAAAGCGTCATCATGTTCTGCTTTGATATCTTTTTCTGCTGATGGTCATTTTTTAAAACCACATTTCAAGGGTGTAACATCTGATTATTTGATATGATGGCTGAGAGGAAGTGACGGTAGAGATGTTATCAGAATATGTCATGTTAGTAGTCAATATTTGAGTCAAAGCATAATGTTGCTTCAGGATGCTATGTTAAAAAACCAGGGCATTTTAAAACCATCCGTCTTTTCATGTTGTTTTTTTTGCATGTTTCTATAAACATTTTGCATATTCAGTGCTTGCTTTTGGGTTAAAACCTTGTTCTTTATTCTAGACTTTGCAGTCTATTTGATCAAACTAGAGCAGCAGCATTGATATTTAAACGTGATCAGTGAATGATCAGCGTCCTGCAAACCCTTTTGAATTCTCCAGCATGCTTTACAAACCACATCCTTATCAGAAAATCAAGGTTATCAGCTTTCATACTTGCATGTTGACTGAGGACGGGTTTCATAAGCTCAAAGGAAGTTTGAAAATATCGTAGTTACACAATTTATTTTGACCATATATTCATGCTACATAAACTTGAATGTGAGATACACCAAGGGAGCGAGAGAGGACGGGGGACAGAGAGAGGAGAGACTTGTCGACATCTACGATAATGCGGGCACCGAATATCGAGTTCTCAAACAGGATGGAAGAACGTAGGTATACAATACTGTACACAATTTGTACATGATCTTGGTAAAAATGTCTTAAAGACTATGTACTTCAAAGCCTGTATAAGATTAATTTGTAGTTTGCCTTAAATCTGACATGTGACACGTTTTACACTGTTATACATTTGACCACCTTTACACTTAAGCAATTAATAGTTAGACATGTATTTATATGTTCTTTTCTTTTTACGATTATCCTTTGAATTATTAATGAATGTGTGACAAAGATTACCTTTGAAATATTAAAATGCACTCACTGTAACATAAGGGTTGGATCACATGTGGTCGCACACTGAACTCCAAATGTATACTACTGATTTCTCGTCCTGTAGTTTATTCACAACAGCAAATTGACAAATCAAGCATATCTAAAATACCATGATGAAAGTGAAATATCTTAACATTAGAAAGTGTACCCACAAAGCAGGAAACAATTGATACAAATATGTTTAGTGTGTGGAGACCTCTTAGGCCATAACCCAAAAAACCTTGCTGTTTGTGAATTTGTCCCACGTTGAGGTTTGATTAATTGTATATAACATTACATTTAGTTTAGTTGACGCTTTAGTCCAAAGCATCTTGCAACAGGTGCAATCAACCATGAATATATATGCTTAACCTTTATGTTGAACACACAAAAAAGTGACGCTTTGTTTCTCATTTTATCAATGTGATTAACAATGAACACATAGCTCACATTTGGCATCATTATCAAGTATTAATGCTCAGTTTTTATGCCTGAGAAGCTGCTGTCTGACATTGAGGTCACCTATTTGTCTTTTTGGGGAGTTTTTGCCTGCACTTGGCTGGCATTATTTTCTCACTTCCAACTTCTGTCTTGTTGGTGGAGAATACGCTGACATGAAGGAGGAGAAGCCCAATAGCTACTCCAAACATTTGTTATCAAAATGTGCTCTATGTGTACTTTGCACCTCCAGGAGCACGCAGAGAAAATCATCCTCCATCCGTCCAAAGAACCCGCGTCAGAGCTGCTGCACTGACTTTAGGTCTGCTGTGTCTCCTGCAGCTGGTTGGACTCATTGTCCGGTCCACACTCCGTGAGTTCCTCCTCTTTACTCTAATGATCAGGGCATTCAAGATATTGGTTTGATGTTAAAATCGTTTTGTTTTGGTTATTACCAGATATTTCAATGCAGACCAAAATTGAGGAGCTGCAGACCAGAAATGAGGAGCTGCAGACCAGTGTTGACAAGCTGAAGAACAGTTACTGCTCGGATACAAATAACCAGACAGAATGGAGGAGATTAGGATGCCGTTGTTACTTCAAATCTACTGAGGTGAAGAACTGGACAGAGAGCAGGAGAGACTGTCTGGAGAGAGGAGCAGATCTGCTGATAATAGGCAGCATAGAAGAACAGGTGAGTGTTTGTGAGGTAATGTAAGTCTTTGCATGTGCAGTGTAAGAGTGCAAGATGTTTGATACATGCAGCTAATCACTTTGACTTTGATGACTCTGAGCTTTATACAGTATTTGTGACACGTCATACTTTCACTTCAATGTATTTTAGTCAAAACATTTAAAATATGTTTTACTCCAAAAACATTGTTTGATTGTATTATTTAGATTGCATTTGAAGATCTGATAACAGTAAATATATAATTATACAAAATCATGCTGTTGTCTGGTAAAAATAGATTAGAAAAACAAAACACGTTTTCTTTTGATACCTGGATATCATTTGCAAACTTACTTTTTCACTTTAACAAACTTGAGTGCATATACATTCATTAGATATGTTGTAAAGATTTTCCTAATATGACTATTTTAGTTGTTGCAATTGTTTTAAAAGTCCTGGTTAAGCTGTTCACTATAATTGTCAGTACATTTTAAATGATGATTGTTTTTGCAACATTTTCAGGATTTTACTAGTGAACTGAGTAAAGCTGAAACTTCCTGGATCGGTCTGCGGGCAGTGACAAACAAAAAGCGTTGGGTTGATGAATGGAAATGGGTGGACGGCTTACATCCCACATTCAGGTAAGAAACATTTAGATTATACTTGTATTATTTTTACTAATATATTAATAATATAAAAAATGTATCTTAATATAACATTTAAATACTAGAAAGAAATCCCTGTTAATGATAATTAATCCTTCAACTTGGAATTTGTATATAATTGAATATTGTCAATTTGTATTAGCACTGCTTCAATTCAACCCATGGTTTAAAGATGACATCACAACAACACGATGTATGACTCTGTTGGGCTGAAGCCAGCATTACTTTGTTTCTGTGCACTATATGTACACACTCTGTACAATTGAAATGATGTTGTGCCACCACATGGCTCATACCTAAAAGCAGGATTTGCCAGTTATGTTTTGTACATACAACATTGAAAGAGGTTGAGCGACTGACCTCAGCTTTTGCCACCATGGATAATGAAGTTGAAATCAAATCTTCTATTCTGAGGTGTACCAAGTGCAAGACCCTAATGAAGTCAACATGTCCCTTAAGTGTCATTCTTAAATTACATTTACAAGACATTGCACTCACAATAATAATAATATAATAATAATGGGTTCCATTTATAAAGTACTTCATATTTGATTTCAAATCCTGAAGTGCTACAAGCAGTGAGCATGAACAGTATAAATAGACATTACACAACACGGTAGAATTAATAAAAAGCAATAAACTGATAAATAAACAAGAACTGCTTCTTTATCAAATATAATCTTTTGTGTTCCGTGCTTTTTCTACAGTGCCTGGAAGAGTGGCCTGGACATAAAACCTCTGCACGGGGCTCTGTCCACAGCATATGTAGATCTGGACGGAACATGGACACAAACCAACAATGGATCTAAAAGATGGATCTGTGAGAAACAGATCTCCTTTGTGTTAGATGCTATTTGATTGTGATGTAAACCCTTTGATGCATGCCATTTTGACTTCTCTTTTTCCAATCATTCTAGCTGTCCTCACATTAAAACCTATATAATAAAGGCAACCATGAGAAAATGAACTGTCCTGAATCACTCAGAAGGGGAAACTGTACAAAAAGAATAATGCTAAAAAGGTCAGAGAGATTCCAAAATGAAAAAGGATCCAACATTGTACCATTACTAGATTTGGTTTGATGGAAGCAGTAAAGCAAATATCAGCGTGTCACAATAATCATTTCAGGCCTGAACTACAGTAGTGAAAATACTGTATGTTATTGTCAGGGTTGGGAGGGTCATTTTGACTGTTTTGTTAAAAGATCTAGTATAATCCAGACATCAAAATAAGAAAGCAACTTCAATTGATATGTTTATGTTACTTTTGGATTACCTCAATAACAAAGATGCAAATTAAAACAGGAGAAAATAAATATAGGTAAGATCACTTTGATTTAAACAAAAATGTTAATTAGCTTTTTAGGCTTCAGTGATACTTTAAGCAGTGTTGTTGTTTGGAGTGTGCTGCACGGGTTGACTCAGTATCAAAATAAAAGTTGGAGAATAACTTTTCTTCCTCAAACGTTGTTGAAAATGTTTGATGACTTGTTTAGATATATAGATAAGATACTTTATTTATTCCAAAATTGGGAAATGATTTTGTTCAAGGAGCAGTGTCAAGTAATACACAAGTTACATTTTTAAAAGATACAAATTTAATAAAAATTAAATTAAAAGAAAAAGTAAGGACATTTGTGTTTGGTAGATTATTTCTACTGTTGGGAAGCCTGTTTTCTTACCTTTCCAACGGTACCACATTTGTGCTTCAGGATGCTATGTTAAAAAACCAGGGCATTTTAAAACCATCAGTCTTTTCATGTTGTTTTTTTTGCATGTTTCTATAAACATTTTGCATATTCAGTGCTTGCTTTTGGGTTAAAACCTTGTTCTTTATTCTAGACTTTGCAGTCTATTTGATCAAACTAGAGCAGCAGCATTGATATTTAAAAGTGATCAGTGAATGATCAGCGTCCTGCAAACCCTTTTGAATTCTCCAGCATGCTTTACAAACCACATCCTTATCAGAAAATCAAGGTTATCAGCTTTCATACTTGCATGTTGACTGAGGACGGGTTTCATAAGCTCAAAGGAAGTTTGAAAATATCGTAGTTACACAATTAGTTTTGACCATATATTCATGCTACTCCATACTTCTTGTTGAACACAGAGCAAAAGTATTGGACCTTTTCTTTTTTTCTTGCCAAATGTCTTCCAACATTTATGATGACATAAACTTGAATGTGAGATACACCAAGGGAGCGAGAGAGGACAGGGGACAGAGAGAGGAGAGACTTGTCGACATCTACGATAGTGCGGGCACCGAAGATCGAGTTCTCAAACAGGATGGAGGTACGTAGGTATAAAATACTGTACACAATTTGTACATGTCTTAAAGACTATGTACTTCAAAGACTTCTCTTTTTCCAATAATTGTAGCTGTCCTCACATTAAAACCTATATAATAAAGGCAACCATGAGAAAATGAACTGTCCTGAATCACTCAGAAGGGGAAACTGTACAAAAAGAATAATGCTAAAAAAGGTCAGAGAGATTCCAAAATGAAAAAGGATCCAACATTGTACCATTACTAGATTTGGTTTGATGGAAGCAGTAAAGCAAATATCAGCGTGTCACAATAATCATTTCAGGCCTGAACTACAGTAGTGAAAATACTGTATGTTATTGTCAGGGTTGGGAGGGTCATTTTGACTGTTTTGTTAAAAGATCTAGTATAATCCAGACATCAAAATAAGAAAGCAACTTCAATTGATATGTTTATGTTACTTTTGGATTACCTCAATAACAAAGATGCAAATTAAAACAGGAGAAAATAAATATAGGTAAGATCACTTTGATTTAAACAAAAATGTTAATTAGCTTTTTAGGCTTCAGTGATACTTTAAGCAGTGTTGTTGTTTGGAGTGTGCTGCACGGGTTGACTCAGTATCAAAATAAAAGTTGGAGAATAACTTTTCTTCCTCAAACGTTGTTGAAAATGTTTGATGACTTGTTTAGATATATAGATAAGATACTTTATTTATCCCAAAATTGGGAAATTATTTTTGTTCAAGGAGCAGTGTCAAGTAATACACAAGTTACATTTCTTTTATAAGATACAAATTTAATAAAAATAATTTTTCTTTTTACAGTAAGGGAATTTGTGTTTGGTAGATTATTTCTTTGTTGTAGCAATGTTTTTTGGCAATCCATATTATACTGTTGGGAAGCCTGTTTTCTTACCTTTCCAACGGTACCACATTTGTGAGGAACTTGCATTTGTGGGATGAGCAGCAGAGCTAAGTATGTGGGCCGCGCCCATGAAAAATGTGACAAATCTCCTCTGCCAATGCCAAACAGCTTTTTTCTGTTGACTCTTGTTTGGTGTTGTTTGGTGGATTGGATGATTGAAGTCTGATAAAACCAGACATATTGGAAACAATTTATTGATACAAATGTATTCATTTAACAAGCAGCCTCAGTAGCGTGTGGAAGAACCAAACACAGCCACAACAGCCTCTCCTCCTCATGCTGTCACCAGCCTGCTCACACTCTGCTGTGGGATGGCCTCCCATTCTTCAACCAGCATATGTCCCAGGTCAGCCAACGTGGTTGTGTTGGTCCCTCTGGCACGGACAGCAGGGCCAAGTTGATCCCACAAGTGTTCAATGGGGTTGAGGTCAGGACTGCAGGTAGGCCATCCCATCCTCTCCACTCCTACTCTATCGGTGCAGCAATCAGCAAAGCGTTCCCTGCGTCTTCTCCACACTGTGACCCTACCATCCATGTGCTGTAGGCAGAATGTTCCTCCACATGTTGAGGTTCCAGTGCTCTGAACATAATGTTCCTCCACATGTTGAGGTTCCAGTGCTCTGAACATAATGTTCCTCCACATGTTGAGGTTCCAGTGCTCTGAACATAATGTTCCTCCACATGTTGAGGTTCCAGTGCTCTGAACATAATGTTCCTCCACATGTTGAGGTTCCAGTGCTCTGAAGATAATGTTCCTCCACATGTTGAGGTTCCAGTGCTCTGAAGATAATGTTCCTCCACATGTTGAGGTTCCAGTGCTCTGAAGATAATGTTCCTCCACATGTTGAGGTTCCAGTGCTCTGAAGATAATGTTCCTCCACATGTTGAGGTTCCAGTGCTCTGAAGATAATGTTCCTCCACATGTTGAGGTTCCAGTGCTCTGAAGATAATGTTCCTCCACATGTTGAGGTTCCAGTGCTCTGAAGATAATGTTCCTCCACATGTTGAGGTTCCAGTGCTCTGAAGATAATGTTCCTCCACATGTTGAGGTTCCAGTGCTCTGAAGATAATGTTCCTCCACATGTTGAGGTTCCAGTGCTCTGAAGATAATGTTCCTCCACATGTTGAGGTTCCAGTGCTCTGAAGATAATGTTCCTCCACATGTTGAGGTTCCAGTGCAAGTGGGCCTGAAGGTGAAGGGCAGTCATGGCAGGCTCCTGGCAACCGTACGAGACCGGAGAGTGGCTGCTGTTTGGCATTGATAGGCGCAACCCACATACTCAGCTCTGCTGCTCATCCCACAAATGCTTGTTTCTCACAAACGTTGCAACATTTCAAAGGTAAGAAAACAGGCTTTCCAACTGTATAAGATGAATTGCCAAAAAGCATTGTTACAACAAATAAATAATCTACCAAACACACATTTCCTTGCTTTTTGTGTTAAGTTGAGTTAAAGGGCCAATGTGTAGGGGGGTCCAAAAATAGAATTGAATAAGAAAAGCTGCAGACACCATAGCAGAGCTTCAACCACTGATGGGACCTGCACCATTTCCTCCTTTTAAATGCATCATGCACACACCCACTGCAACAAGTGAGTTATTAAAATATGAAGATGGCATGAAGGAAGACTGGAAGAGATCAAGTAGAACAATTGTCTATCAATGTTGAGTAGTCATGACATGTTCAAATATTGAATGACTGCTTTCTTGCCTCAATATCTTTCTGTATTCAGGCCTAATATATATATATTTTATATTTAGCTTATATTGGATTAAAATGTGTATATTCTTACACTGGAGGAGAAATCAGAAATCCTTTTTCAACAACACGCTCCAGTGCGTCTTAAAGCAGCAATCTAATTTCAATCTGTTTAGAATACTCCTCGGGAACATAACACTTACTGTGCAATTAGATAGCTTTCCAATCGTGCAAGACACATGAACTGGCTACATGTGGAAAAAGGCCATTAGACTGTGTAAATAAAGTTGAGATAGCAGAACCAACATTTATGAAGACCCTAATTTGGTTATAAATAAAATATACAGCAAGGTAGCCATAAAGGACAGTGGACAGAGAGAGGAGAGAATTGTGGACACCTATAATTGGGAGGACACAGACTATCATGTTGTTAAAGATGGAGGCACGGGGAAATTAATACCGTAAAATATTTGTAAATGATCTCAGTAATATTCCTTAGATAATCTGCTCTGAACCGTGTATAAGACATATTTGTAGTTTGTCTGGCATACATTTTACAATTGTATCACTGTGATATGTAAATGATACCACCTTCACACGTGAGCAGTTAATACTTACATTACATATCTTTATGTTTGCTTATATCTTAGATTTTTTAAGCAGATCTTGATCACCATGTCGGTGTTCATTCATGACGGGCTTGCTGCACATTATCTTGCTTAACAAACATACTAAATAAACAATTGACTTTGTGGATACAAAATTATGTTTTTGATTTACAAATGATCGTGTTGCTCGCGCTAAGAAAACATACTCAGTTCCATGGCGTACCAACAGCTGGAACTGCGGAGACAGCAACGTAAACTTAAAATGCAGCAGCACTGACCAAGGTTTTCTTTAACTTCCTGTTAGTGTTCACTTCCTGTTCGTTATGTTCTTTATGATGTCCATGTCTAAGAATAGTTGTGTTGAAGTTGAGTTTTAGAATCACAAACAGAAATACTTTAATAACCGCAGGGGGAATTGGTTTTCATGACAGTTGTTTCATTATAGAATGAATAAAATACATATAAATAAAATAAAATATAATGTATTATATAATATAAGAAGTAAGATCAAATATAAAAAAATATATAGAAACATAAGAATTAAAGTAAAATGACCCATAAAAGATAAACAAGTCAAAGGCCAGTGATCTCAAATATATTGAAGAACAGATTGAGTTGATCTGTCCTTTGACAATAAGCTTTTCATATCTACATGGTCATTGGCTCCTCCTTATGGAGCTGCCTTTGTTGCACCGCCATGTTTCTACAGCTCCTCTGAAAGGACACAAAGGACAGAGGGCTTTTTCCTGTGACCTTAAGGCCCCCATAGTCCTCCGACATGCTTGTGGTAATGCCAGCTGCTGCCTGAATTGTGTTGCTGCTAAAGCAGTCTTTTGGGAAGGATGACCTTTGAGCAAGGCAACTGTCAGAAAAAGGATATAGATATAAACAGCAGTATTGTTCCCATAGTCTCGTTGACGCAGTCTTGTAAAGGAGGGGTGAGCAGAGTGGTGTTAAGTTTTGCAATCTGCAATCGCAATGCTATATGCCTCTCAAACACACTGTCCCTTTTAGTACAGAGAATAAATTGCCATAAGGAAAATTAGATCCATTCTTCAGCTTGCGTCTTTGGGTGCAACATAATTAGGGGCATGTACATGACATTACATTACATTTCACTTGTTAGACGCTTTTATCCAAAGCGACAGGAGCCACAGCCTCCTAAATGTAACATGACTTTGTTAAGTGTGGTTTATATGCTGCATGTTTACAATTAAAAAGGCACAAGGTGCACCATACTGTGTAGTTGTTCACCTTTTCTGCTTTACAAACAAAATATGTGTACAAATATATACTCTACATTGTAATATATTGTTCCTAATTTTAAAATGATATATTTTTAATAATGCCCATTCTTTTACTTAATGTATAAGTAATCGGATTAGTCTGATAGTTATGGTTTAACCTAATACCTTTGTTCTGTTACCTGGTTCCAAAGCAAGATAGTAGGCAACAGTATCAACAATAAGTGAGAAAAAAACATTTCCTGTTTTGAACTAAATGTCCTGTGTGTGTGTGTGTGTGTGTGTGTGTGTGTGTTTTTGTGTGTTTTTGTGTCAACCACAAACACACACGACCACGCTTCCCCACCAAGCTGTGAATTGATGAGGGTTAGATTTAATGTCTGACAGAAAATCTTGTATCTGAAAACTCTCACATTTATTTGAACAAAGATGAATATAGTTACTTTTCTTACATATATTCTTTTCTTCGCAACTATGTATTAATAGCTTGCAGTCTCATACCTGAAGTAAGGAAAACCACCAAACTGGTGTTACAGGGGTTGTGTGTGTGTGTGTGTATGTTTGTGGTGCCTTCGACCAAGCTATGAATTGATGTGGTTAAGGGTTTCATGGCTGACAGGAAACCTTGAGTCTTGAAAATATCTCCTTTATTTAAACAAAGAAAACATTTAATAGAATAATACAAATTATTTGTATATATGCATTTTCCATTTTACTTTGTATTTGAAGTTTGCAGTCTCCTGGCTGAAGTTTAAAAAAATCCCCAAACTGGAGTTAAAAGGTTGTTATCTAAATGAGCCAAATACATAAAAAGGTGTGTGTGTGTGCTGGTACTTCCGTTATAATCTCTACTGATGCCACACAGAAACTGGTCTCAGAAACACTAGCAGAAACCACAGTACAGTGTTTAACGTTAACGGGGCAACATTTCTCAAGATGCCACGTATTTATGATGTACCACATTCATCACAGAAGGTGAAATTCAACAGAAAGTTGCAGGAGGAAAGGGAGGTGGATATCTACGAGAATGCAGACACTGTCAGAGATTATCACACTGAGAATCAGTCACAAGAAGGTGGTAAGTGATAGCTTGACAAATCAATATTATAACTCATCATTGTATGTGTGTAAACTTCCTTTAAATCATGTTGGGGTGATGTGAGGCTGTGGCTCAGTGGAATAGTGCGCTGAACTTAGTGCGCTGAACTTTGAATCAGGGGATAGCAAGTTCAAACCCCACTGCAGTCAGCATGGCGTTGTGTCCCTGGGCAAGACACTTCACCCCAAATTGCTCCTGTGGGGATTTTCCACAGTACTGAATGTATGTAAGTCGCTTTGGATAAAAGCGTCTAACAAGTGACATGTAATGTAATGTGTGAACACGAAGCTTGTTCTCAGTTCTGTTTGTTAGACTCAGCTTTCCAGTCACAAGGCAGTGCAGCTCTTCAGTATCTATGTTCATTTCAGTTTAGAATGTACAGCTTGTGTTTCTGCAGCTGTTTCCTATGGTGAGTTAGATTGTGCTCTGCTAAAATAAAGTACCTGCGCTGAGTTTGTTAGATTCAGCTTTCCAGTCCAAAGGAACTGCAGCGCTTCAGGGCCTTTGTTTGTCTCTACAGTTTAGACCTTATGAACACTCTTATGTTTTGCTGTTTGTCCTGCAGTGTGTTACACTTCCTATACTGGTTAAAACGGCCACATGTTTCTACATAACCTGAATCCAATATATCATTGTTTTAGCCATTATTCCATTTGAAGTGTTGTGTCTGTTATATACGTCCTATGTTTTGGAAAACTGAGTGTATCTGTTTGTTATTTGTTATTAATTCAAAGATATGTAGGGCTGCTCAATTAATCGTATTTTAATCGCAATTACGATTTTGGCTTGCAACGATTACAAAAACAACGTAATCGAAATAAAACGATTATTTATTTTTTATTATTATTATTTAAAAATAAAATTGTTTTATTGGTTTTTCAGTTGAATTATACTTAAAGTTCAGGGTAATCAACTGTTAAAAACATACTGTTCAATTTTTTGTCAATAAATGGATGTTTTCAAAGTAAATGGATAATCGTTTTTAATAATCGTGATATCAATTATTGACCCAAATAATCGAGATTATGATTGTTGCCATAATCGAGCAGCCCTAACGCTATGTCATCAAACCAACTTTGAAGAAGAAGCTGAAGAAATGAACATGACCTAATAACTGTTTTAGAATAGTGAACTTACAGTGGTTCATATTTCCAAATTGTAATCTATGAATGTGAATAAGTGAATGTGTGTGAGTAACAAGCATATTTCTTTAAAAAACAATCAAGAATAATTCCCACTAAAGACATCTTTAACACGGAGTGTAAAGAGACACCATGTGACAGGAAGAAGAGAGGTGCAGCATGGTGTTAAAAATATAACTTGCAAAACTGAGCCAAGGGAGATAGAGACTGGAGAGGAAGTAATACAAAGTCACTATTACACAGCTTTTGGTTTTAGGTCAGTTACTCACAAGAGTTCATATTTGTTTTATACCAATATCTTAATGAGGTAACATAACAGTGTTTAAAAGATATGTTTAAAATATGTATGACAGATGCCACTAAACCACAGATCAAAGCAGTGAAACGTTAAGTGTGACTGTGGGAAATGATAGAAACAATGTGTTCTTTCACTTGAATCGATCCGTTCTCTGTGTGCTCTGTGCTTCAGGACCCCGCTCTGAGAGGCCCCCTGCAGACGCCCAGAGGAGGACTTACAGAGCTGCTGCTCTCTGTTTAGGAGTGCTGTGCATCCTGATGATAACTGCAATCATTGCCTTATCCATTCACTGTAAGAAAGCCTTTTTTTTTTTTTTTTTTTTTATAGTCATAGAGAGCTGATGTGATTCCCCTCTGTATTAATTCAGCTCCACAGGACATGATCTGTCCATTGGACTCCAGTCAAAGTGATACAGGCAGCTTGTGCCAGTTCCTCCTTTCTCTGGCTTTTCACTGCCATGTCATACAGGGTAAACGTCCATGCTGGAATTACGGGGGGGAGTTGGGTCAAACGTATTTATGTGAACAATTTGCATAAATGTAAATGTTCACAGTTAAGGTTGACAATATCTAAATGTTGTTTAACTGTTTTTGGTACTTGCTCACAACTATGTATTAAGTTGTGAGCAAGTGAGTGAATCAGTTTTCAACTTGTTAGCAGATAATGTAATTCCTGTTTGAAATAGTTAGAAGGATGTTTAATAATGTGCAGGTTCCAGGATTTCACTTTGGTCTCTCTTAAAATTGAAGCTGTTGTCGATCTGTTTCTTATTTTGTTGAGTTTTAATCCGATATTCTTTGTGTTTTATTGCTCTTGTATAATTTCAATTTTTGTTTTATCTTTGTTATTTTTATATTCCTGTTTCTATATTTGTGCTGCAGCAACACCCATACAGTACCTTCTCTCTAGAAATAAAAAAAAGCTCATATTCCAGTCACTTTAGGAAAGAACGAGCTGCAGACCAGGTACAACAAACTGAACAACAACTACAGCCAGCTGGTTTCAGGTAACATCTTTTCCAAGATACAATAACACACACAATTTAACACAATAATACACATGATAAAAGTTAAGGGTGATATTGAATAATGTGCAGGATCCAGGATTTAAGTTAGTTCTGTCTTTAGATTGAAGCTGATGATTTGTGGATTTGTTTCTTATTTTGTAAACTTGTAATCAGATATTCTTTGTGTCTTATTACTCTTTCATAGGTTTATTGCTGTTCTTTGTGCTGTGGCAACACCCACATGTCCCTCTCTTTCCTGTAGTGTCATAAAACCCTACATCTTATACCCCCGTGAACACAGACCAAATGTTCTTCTCATACATAAGGATTTAAAACACTTGAAAGGATACCACTTTATTAAGCTTTAATACAATAATTTCCATTGTGCATCCTGATGATGACTGGAATTATTGCCTTATCCGTACGATAATACACAACACGCATTTCTTCTTTGACAAGGATATCTTGAGGAAATACTACCACTCTAACCGCTATTGTTTGACGGACTAGCATCGCCGCTTAGCTTTTTGTGATCCATTTCTGCTACTGTCTTTTTCACAATTGAAAACCACAAGTATGATGGTCCTCAAACAGCCATAGAGTGAGAAGGCAATACTGCTTATGGTGAAACATATACAGTCTTCGTTTTGTGTCTAATCTGTCTTTTATCGTTCTGATATATTTTTAATTTTAATGTTATTTTAAAATTCATCTATATTCTTGTTTCTATCCCTATCCTTGTGGTGTGGAAACACCCACATCTCTCTGGAAATCTTCTCCTATATTTCAGTCACTTTGGAGAAAGAGGATGGGAACAAAGATCTGTCTTTTAAATGAAATGATATGAAATCTATCTTTGAAACATGTGTTTGAAGGGAAGCTGTGTCCTGGAGGATGGAAGAGATTTGGATGCAGTTGCTACTTTAAATCCGATAAGCGGAAAACATGGTATGATAGCAGATCTGACTGTGAGCAGAGAGGAGCAGATCTGGTGGTCATCAACAACAAAGAGGAACAGGTGGGTCTGTTTCAGAGTGAGTTATGTAGATGTAACGTCCTGAGATCGGTTATCTACTGACCAACTTCCTGTCTTCAGATCACATCTTGTTAGCCTGTTCATTAACAATTGATTCTCATTAGCACCTGTTCCTAGCTTTGACTCAATGTATAAGCTTTTAGGTCCACTCTGTTTTGTACATTATTATCATATATATATATATATTTTATAATTGTTTGTATTTATTCTTATTGCTGATACGGAAGCCTCAGATGACTAACACAAGGTTAATCTCTTCTTATTTTAGAAATGCATAATATAAATAATTAAATTAAATGAAAATAATTGTGTAATTTCATAAAATGCATTATTATAAGTTAAAATGCTAACATTCTTGTGATCACTTCACGTGTATTTCCTACTGCATTCTTTTTCGCTGAACAGATAATAATAATAATTAAAGCTGCAAGCAGCGTTGAGCGGGTCTTCGACGCTCCGCAGGCTGTTGTCCGCACGTCGACGTGTCGCGTAGGTGTCTCGAAGACTCGGCCGTTGGCAAACTGGGAAGTTTCAGGCCGATCGGACAGCGTACATAGGAGTTACAGCAGTATCATAAACATTGTGTTTGATGGCGAGTGATCTGTCGCCATGGCAACAGCATTTAATGACACCCCATAATATGCCTAGATGTCTTGAGGGCTGTACCGTTAGCACACATGTGAAGTTTGAACACTTTTTCACCATTTACACTGGAGTTATAGCAATATCGTGCATAACGGCGAGGGATGCTTTGCCATGGCAACAGCGTTTTAAGGAAAACTCACTATTGTCATATTGAGGTGTTGAGGGCCGGACCATTAACTGTCATCTGAAGTCTGGCGCTGTTTTGACCATTTTCATAGGAGTTATGACAACATCGTGATTTTTAGCGAGGGATGCGTTGCCATGGCAACGGCATATGAGGACACCCCATAATTGACAGAGCCAATATCAATAATGTGCGAGGCTAGTGATGTCACTAGGTTCGCGTGGGAACTGTCATGATTTAGGCTGTCGTTTTCCCTGTTTTGTGTGGGTTTAGCATGGTTGTCGCTCGCTTCACAAATTGATCCTACCGATATCAATCATGGGCTCGCGCGGTCTATCTGCCGTCATGATTTCCGAACCTTTTCTGTGCTTCTGCCAATCGTTTTCCCTGCTGCGCGAGCGATTACAATAGGGTCTTCGCCGACCTCTGGTCTCAGACCCTAATAATAGTTTCTTCACCTTCCTCCATTAGGCGCATACTATCTAGTAGTTGTGTCAACTATTCAGTGTGTGGTGTACAAGTGGATCCCTTTCTGTTTGTCATGGCTGATTATTGTCTCCGTTCCACATCTAGAAGTTTGTCAATGAATTCAATTCACAAGGAGAGGCCTGGATTGGTCTACAGGCCACAAAGGGAACATCTACACCAACAGGATGGGTGTACGAATGGGAATGGGTCGACGGATCACTGCTGACAGAAATGTGAGATAGGGTTTTTCTCTTTAAATCATAATTAAATCAACAATCCTTTGTCCCAGAACTAAATTGGTTTCAAATGTCAATTATTATGCTAATTATTTGGTCTTCTTATATAAAAAACGGCTTTAATCTTCACAGAGCATTTAGCCTGCCGGTATTGACCTTCTGTCTGAAACACTGTTTTAGCCCGTTTCCACAGGATTGCATTCCTAGGTAACAGCCAGGGTCCATGTTAACTTCCTGTCAGCAGAGGCCTGTACTACGAAGCCGGATTTTCGCTTAGCCGGCTAACTTCAGGGAAAACTCGGGCTTTCCGGTCCTACGACGCTGGTTCTCTTTTTAGCGGGCTAGATCTCCATGGTAACTTATGCTGAGCGGCTATCCCAGACCCGGCGGCAGACATACATCTGTGGGCGGGCATTTGATTTACCAGGGCGGGCCGACCCCCAGGCCCCACCCCATTTTAACGTAACATATGTGCATATATAGTTGCAGACAGATTTAGGCGTTATTTTTGTGCACGCAATGAAACATTTTGAGCATAGGAAATGTTTCCGCTGCTGCTGCACACTAGTGTTCATTTCGTTGACTAAAACTATGACGAAATATGTTCGTCAACGACCTTTTTTTCCATGACGAAAACGAGACGATGACGAGACGGCACCGACGGCAGTAAACAATAACTGTAACGATATCATCATGCAATATCGTTATCAAAGATAACGTTACATCTCTGATAGTCAGTTTTTCTCCCAGCAGTTCCATTTCCGGTGCTGCGGCTGGGCAGCAGCTGTGTGTCTGTGCCGCGCGCGGCGGCACATTTGAATTACACCGGGCAGAGGCAGAATATGAACTGTCAGGAAGACTCGGGTCTAACTCATGGTCTAACTAACCTTATTTAACAGAAAATAAAATGGCAACAATAGGGCTTGGGAGCAGTGGTCGCACTCGCGTTAACCGAATACCCCCCCGTCAGCGCGAGTGAGTGATAAATTGTGCACTCGACGGGAAATAATGGATTATGACGGAAATGTTACGATCCTGTCCGTCAAAATGACTGACAACGAAAAAGTCTAAAGCCACCACTGCTTGGGAGAAAGAAACAATGTGATATTTGGGCCCATTTTCGCTACATTGAGGCGGAGAAAAAAACCGAATGCATTGTTTTATCAGAAGGGAAGCAATGTGGCCATAACACAGCTGGTAAAAACACCACAAACCTGACCAGATACTCTCTGACTGCAAAGCTGCTTTCTTAATCATTCAGCCTGTGTTTTTCATCAAATAAGGACAAGATATAATCTTATTGTGAAATAAGTTTGACTAAAATGACAAATTATTGGTTTTGGCTTGACTAGTTTGACTGAAATGTTCTATATAATCTGATGACTAAAAAAAGACTCAACAGTTTTCTTTGACTAAAATAAGACTAAAATGCTCAGATTTTTAGTCGACTAAATCTTGACTAAATAAAAACAGGATGAAGGTGACTAAATATGACTAAAACTAACAAGGAAATTTAACACAGGACTAAGACTAAAACTAAATTAAAAAATAGCTGACGAAATTAACACTACTGCACACGCTCTCTCTCCCACAAATGTGCCACATAACCAACCATTTGTAACGCTGTGCCAATTTGAGCGAGCACGGGGTGGAGAGGTTGAGCGAGGGAGAGAGGGACTGGAGCAGGAGTTTGAGGGCTTGAGAGTCAATTTCTCTTCAAAATATAATTGATATGCTTGCAAAATATATTTTTCTGTGCTCAAAAATGTTAAATTGCGCGCTCAATAACATTTCCAATGCTCAAAATGTTTCATTGCGTGCTCAGGATAGAGGCACAACAATAGCGCTACTTCAGCACCATGGATGGACAGCGACGCTACACATCAAACAAGCAGAACCAGCATGCAGCTGACTCATATACTCATATATACACCTATGAGTAATACAAAAACCTTTAATTACATTACAGAAAAAAGCTGTGAGAATGTTGCATAATGTACTACCTAAGAACAAACAATTTATTGAGTCAAGGCTGTTAACATTTAAAGATTTAATAGAATATCAGACGGCTTTAGTTATGCAGCAAAAAACAGAATACTGACAGAAAATATACAAATATAATATGCAAATGTATTTTAATTTCAGAGGATGAGCATCAGGAGGAAATTACATGTTAAGCATCAGTTTGCACGTACTACTTTAAAGCAGAGGTGTGTCTCTTGGCGTAAAGAAGTGGAATTAAACAAATAACAAATATATTGGCAAACATACAGTGAAAAGAACACACTGAAAAATACCCAATATTTTGTTCACATTAAAGCTTGAAAACAACAGCTTAGCCTACATCGTGATGTGATTGTTTGCTACTTACACAATGTACTCGGGGTGGGCCTAATAAAGCTGTAGCCGACGTTTCCCAGATGAATGGAACCTCCTCAGCAACATGTCTTTCCACTCATTCTTGCATTTTTTTGTCAGGTCCTTCTCGAAACCAAGTTGGATTAAATTTGCTTTCCGAGTGTGAGACATGCTTCTTCGGTGCTCACTGAAAACGTTTTTCAGTGTGGAAAAAGAGTTCTCACATAAAGCTGTCGAAGCTCCAAAGGTAAGTGAAACCTTAAATGCGGTGAGAACACTTGGCATTGCCTCAAGCGTCGTGTGGAGATGACCAAGTACGTTTTTCAATGTCCATTTCCCATCCTCTGGTGGTGTGAAGCTGTCCACGTGTTTCAGAATCAGCTTTTTGGCCACAATGAACTCAGCATCAACGAGCGTGGTTCCAGTCAGTTTAAGCAAAGGTTCCACTTTTTCGGGCTCCAGGAAGAAGCTGCTTTCCGGGTTGAGTGAAGCAATAGCCTCCATGAATGCGCTGTTTCGCTCTCCAAAGCGGCGCGCAATTTCTCCCGTAACTGCATCAATGCAGCTGTAAAACAGCCGCCGTTGCTCTGTCATCTGGTGGTTTTCTTGTGTTCCCACTCCCACTGTCTCTTCAACAACATAATCCTCCAAAGTTGTGTTAAGAGTTCGCCTTCTCTTGGTGGGACCGGGATGGATAGTATCATCCTCTCTCTCCTGTGCGCACTCACTCCACATCTCCGTGAACACCTTTTCGGTGCGCAGGGCCTCAACACACTCTTTGGCAGTGTTGACAAGCTGTACTGCCGTTTGAAGGTCCATTTCCTCCGACTGCATCATCCTGTTAGCTGGCTCAAGCAGGGACAATATCTTGCATACTATCTGGGTGTGGAATTTAAAGCTTGGCTTTAAAATTCTGCTCAGCAAGCCTGCTGCCTCCATCCTCAAGTCAGCTGGAAATGATGCAGAGTGTTCAACATGTCGGAGTAGTTCAACTATATCCTGAAAAGATTTCAGAATAATCTGAACAGTGGCCAGGTGCCCTGTCCAGCGCTGTTCCAGTAAACGCTTCAGCGTGTTTCCCTGGTAATGTGCAGCAACGGTGGGCTTTCGTGTGAACTTGTAGAGGACATTACAGATGTTGAATAAATCCTCGATGGCTCTCTCACCGGACATGGCGTGAACAACGACCAAGTGCAGCTGGTGGTTGAAGCAGTGCACATATGGGATTTCTCTGCCCAGTTCATCTTGAAGGAGTCTTTGAACCCCACCGTGTCTCCCCGACATAAGACTTGCCCCATCGTATACCTGGCTGAGAATTTTGTCTGTGCTCAGGCCAACTTTGCGTATTTCATCAATGAGTGTCTGTGTGAGGGTTTTTGCATCACCTGCAACTGCTGTGGCGATTGTCAAGAGCCTTTCTTTTATGACATAGTTCTCATCAACAAAACGCAGTACAATTGAAATGTTTTCACAGCCTGTTGGGTCTCGGGTTCCATCCATTTTGACAGTGTAAAAGGAGTCGCCTATTTCCTCAACAATATGCTCCGTTACGACTTTGCTCATCAGGTCAATTATGCCGTTTTGTATATCATGGCTTATGTAGGTAGCATTTTTGGGAATGGTGGGGGCAATTTTCGCGAGTTCTGGGTCCTTTTCGATGGTATACTCAAACAATGACAAAAATAACCCACTGCCAGACTTGGACATACACTCTAAAGAGTCGTGGTCACCTCGGAAAGGAAGATTGCTGGTAGAGAGAAAAGTCACAATGTCAATAATGGAGCCCACGTAATATCTGTTACGAGCCAGCTGATCTTTGTTGACAAGAGTTGTGATTTCCTGACCAGTCTCGATGCGCATTTGTTTTTCTCTCCACAATTTCTCACACACTAAATGTTCCTTGGAAGAGCTGTGTTTGCTAAGACCCGTGCCCTTTTGTAAGGCATGCTTCCAGTCTTTGAAGCCTTTTACGGTGAACGATGCGTCATGATGATGAGCCTTAAACTTTCTGCATGGGAAACAGTACGCAGCATCGCCTTTCACGGAGTATTCAAGCCAGGGTCGGTTTTGGTACCATGAGCTGGCAAAACTACGTTTTTTCCCGGAGAACAGCCGAGATGGAAAACTATCCAGGACTACCTGTTTTGGTGTATCCACGCCAAGGTCCTCTGGAACTAGAAAACGAAAATCTCCAAGATCACGAGCGTTTAGAATGGGAGCTGGGCCTGGGCTGCTTAAGGATGAACTGCTGCTGCCCTGCTCCGAAGAGGCTGCGTCTGACAACGTTGACTCGGGTCCTGGTGGAGGAGAAGGTAGAATAGATGGCGGGGGACACGTCAAGTTGCCAGAATCTGGTGCTGAGTTGCCACAATCATTTTTTGAGCTCTTATTGTTCGTGAACCACTTCCTAATATCCATTGTCGCCGATACATATAAAAAAGGATAATAGCCAAACTAACCGCCAGAGTAAACTGACAGGCTGCTGTGACGCGTCTCACACACACACACACGACTCAACCCCGCGAAAAACCAGTCTCGCGCATTCATTCAGAATTTCATAGCAAAATAAAAAAATTATATTATACTAATGTTTCAACATAGTTTAATACAAAAATAAATGTTATGACAAAGCCCTACAAATAACAACAATAAACATAATAATACAAAAATGTAAAAAAAAAATGTATATAATAATTTTTTTTTTAATCAACCCTGATTTCTCATGGGCGGGCCCAAATCCTGGATGGGCGGGCCCGGCCCCATGGGGCCCGCCCATGACGCCGGGCCTGGGCTATCCTCCTCCGGAGCAGTTTATGTTGCAGGCTAAGAGATCAACTCAGTGAAAGCACCGCCTGCTGACCAATCAGAGCTCCGTGTGCGGAGTTTAAAGCGATCAAGTCATATTACAGGATAGAGGAAATACAGAAAAACTGCCGTTGCAGGAAAGACGGCCGGCAAAAATCAACTGACTGTGTGAACGTGAAAATTAATAGAATATCACCTCCATCTTCAGAGCAATCTGACTATTATAACATTAGCGTTAAGAAAGCTTACTTAAATATCTGCCACAACATAAGTAACCGGATCAGAGTAACATTAAGTACAGTCCGCGGCACTGTGAGTGCAGACGTCGATGTGTCCCATTATCATTCATATCATATCACATCATAATGTATCATATATTTCCTTATCTGAGTCAGCTTCTTGAGCCGTATCTGGCCGTGCAACACTCACAGTGTCACATAATGTATGCAGAAGTATTATTTTAAGCAACACATTAAGTTGACGAAACACTCGAGCCAAATGTAATTAAAGTCAGATCCACTCGTGTCTTGGACGGGGCAGTGATTTCATAAACCTGTTAATGTACGCATTCAAACACTTTTTCTGTTACCAGCTGTATTCACCTTGCAGGTGCAGCTATGTGGCTTTTATCCTGGATAAAGTGTTTAAGTGATGGATGTTTAAAGTTTAACTTCTTCATATTTGACTAATATTAAAGTTCACTTTTCATTCAGGAAGTATGACGCTGCGCTGTCAGTACGCTTGTCCGTGTTTGAGATTGGTCGAATGCTCCAAATACCACCCCTTTCATGTGAACGCGCACCTAACTAGATAGGACACGGCTGGCTTGAGCGATCCACTTGATAACCAGCGTCGTAGTACAGTTTAGCGAGAGCGCGTATGTTTTGGATTGGGCCAACCGGCTAACTCAAACATATCCAGGTTATGTTGAACCGGCTTCGTAGTACAGGCCTCTGATGTCATTCACATATGCTGCACCTGGGACAAACAAGGCATTATATAAACAAGGGTTTAAAGAAAACTAAAATAACTGCATCCATCTCTGTTTTTGAATCCTTTTTCCTTATTTAACTCAAATGATTTAATTTGTTACAGATAATATTTGAGTCAAAATCGACAGTTGTTTTCAAGTTTTAGACCTATTATATTGTCCTACAGGTTCTGGGAATCAGGAACGCCAAACCATTTCTCAACCCAGAACACTTCAGCATACTGCAATCAACATGGACTATGGAGACCAAAACAACCATATCTCTTATATAACTGCATCTGTGAGAAATAGATTTCTTGAATGATTTGATGAGGGTGGGCAGCTCTGAGATCAGCTTTGTCAAATTGTAACAGCTAGCGTTATACATTGTTTAAATGTGTTCATTCTGTTCTGTTTGCTGAATTACTTGGAATTCATACAAATTGTTTCTCTGGCTTTAATGTGCGGTTTATTCTTTCAGGTTGATTATAATAAAAGTAAATAAAGACATGGAATCACACAGTCTTTACTTGGCTTTGTATAGTTAATTAATACGTTTTTGTTTAATAAAATGGTTTTGATACAACAGTAGTCACCAGATCCTAATTTTAAGCTTCCAGGAGAAGGAACCATTTATGAAGTTTCATTGTATTTCCCTTCAGCCTGTGTAATGAGTGTTTGTTCAAATGTACTGCAAGGGACTGCAATTAATGTCCATAAAGCAAAAACGTACTGTTGGCTTCCATTATAAATAAGTATATTTCCCTTATTTTAAACCAAGACCTGGTTTGAATCCAGATGCAGCACTTTCACTTTTAAATACATAGATTATGCGTCTTTGTTAGCCACTTTTACTTAATCAGTCTTGGTTTTCCAAAGCTACATGCAAACCAAGGTTAGTTCTTTTTTAGTCCAGAAGGTGGAGGTACTGTGCCAAAAACACACTTTAGCCAACAATTGTAAACATACAAATATAAGGCTGTCCTTGAATATAATGTGGTGTTTAACAGAGTTGTTCAATATCAGTATACTGGCAGGTGTCACAGTACATGGAACAAATACAGGGTAAATGCATTATCACTTTACAAGGGGAAAACATACCTACTAGTTACAATATACAAATGTAAATATGTACTAGTTTTATTCTTAAGAGAACAGGAAGATTAAAATGATAACATCACATGTGAAATGGTGTTTTACAATTGCTGTATGTAATGTAGCTTTGCTATGGCTTTATTTCTGTGGTTGTGTGTCAGAAAGAAAATCTTCTATCCCTTTTTGATCTTTTCACTGAAACTAAAAACTTATTATATATTTTTCATATACCATACCAATACCATAGTCTTCACATTTCCTGTGTCAGAGAAGTGTGTATGAAGCAGCTATGCAAACATGTCTGTGTGCACTGCTGCTTAGCCAATGTTCTTGTAAGGGTGGAAAATGGAAAGGTAGCTTGACTGGATCCACATTATTTCTGACTGAATACCAGAACACACACAAATTAGATATTTCCAAATGTTTTTGTTTGAGATAAAAGCAAAGGTATGTTTATATTATTTGTATTACATTCTAAGACTTCAATAAACATTCAAGGTCAGGGACATTGATAGATTGGCATTACCGGAACAATACAGCCCTGTTTTTCGAACTGAAATGATTACAGAATTAAGAGGAATTGAATGGACTTTTGATTGATTCAAAGTCTTCTGCATACACATAGATAGAATCCTCAAGGGTTGTACCTACACACCAGCCTGCTGTAAAAAGACAGTTGCCCCCACAATAGAAAATGGATGACTACAAACAGTTAAGCATTGCTGTGGATCCTAAAGATGGATCTGTGAGAAAACAGATCTCCTTTGTGATGTAATGGGTTTGAATATTCCCAAAGACCTTTGGTGCATCTCCTTCCCTTTTCCAATAATGATTCCTGTCCATGCTTTACAAACTGTATAATAAAAGCAAATAGGAGAGAATGAACTGTATTGAATCACTCAGAAGGGAAACATGTGAAAAGTACCAAAAGTCCTAAATAACACTAGAAAAGATCAGCAGTTTTCCAAAAATAAAAGGTTTCACTGTGGTGCATGAAAGTGCTTGGTCAATTTTATGGCAATCGACCCATACATTGTAAGTGTTTGGTCTTTTGTACCATGGTAAATCTTTGCGTGATGGTGGCAGCAATGCAAACATTAAGGTGTCACCACACAATATCAGGAACAACCTGTAGTAATCTGCAACTGCAACACTGGATGCCGCCAAATCCTAAACACTGCCCCTTTCATATTATGAAATTATTATTTGTTTAATTCCACTTCTTTACGCCAAGAGACACACATCTGCTTTAAAGTAGTACATATCAATTATATTTTGAAGAGAAATTGACTCTCAAGCCCTCAAACTCCTGCTCCAGTCCGTAATAATTGCCATAACAAAATCAAAAAAGGCTCAGCTTCTCTTGTATTTCAGTCACTTTGGAGAAAGAGGAGCTGAGGACCAGGAACGAGCATCTGAACAAAACAACTACAGTCAGCTCCTGGACAAAGTTGCAGGTAGGATATTTTTCAAGATACAATAGTACACATGATCCAACTCACACTGTTTATAAAGCATAGTTTTTTAATATCTACTGCTGTTTTTCCCAAGACTTATCAGTCAACAACAGTGAGTTACAGGATGAAGTGAAGCAGCTGAAGGTCAAAATTGAAGGTGAGAACATTTCAAAACTCTAAACATCTGTACAGAACTAGCAAAGTTTAACTTGACTGTTTCATTTTCACTTCAACGGTTTCACAATGTTCAACTGTTTTGCTTTAAGGGACGGTGTGTCCTGAAGGATGGAAGAGATTTGGATGCAGTTGCTACTTTAAATCTAATGAGAGGAAATCATGGTATGATAGCAGATATGACTGTCAGCAGAGAGGAGCAGTTCTGGTGGTCATCAACAACAAAGAGGAACAGGTGAGTCAGTTTGTTTCACCAGTTAAAAGCAGTTAAACCCCACGGCCCCGCGGCAAAACGCAACATCTTGCAAGAAACAGCGTCTGAGGGCTTCTTAACATTTAATAAGCTATGAATGTGTCATACTCACTTAACGGGAAGAAACTCAGCTTTCAGACAATATTAACCATGTTTAGCTAAACGAAACAAAAGGGTAATAAGAAAGGCATTGAATTAGCCCTGAGCGAAAAAATGCAATTAGCACAGAACTCAAGGTAAAATACCCTTATTACTTATCGTATCTACACAGACAAGACAATCGATTAGCAAGCTGAGATTCCACAGATTCCAGACATAAAAGTATCATCACTGAGCGATCAGAACTCGCGACAGGGGAAGCGAAAACAGACATCACAACACGTAGCTTCACGGAGGAAACACGGGAGAAATGCTTACCTTAGCTGTTGTTCTGGTCAAAAGTTGTGTTCAATGGCATTAAAACGATAAAAACGCTGCTGAAGGTTAATCCATAGGTTAATCCAATGTGTCTGTGTCACTTTGAAATGAGTACTGATAATCCATCATTACATTTTTGTCAATAACGGAGTATTCATATCAAGCTGCTATGAGAGCTATGAGAGCTACAACCCAGCTTCCGGTTCTGGGGCATTCTGGCTACCAGGGTGGGATTTTCACCTTTTAAAATGCGTGTTTTCTGAATGGAGATCGGATCGATCAGGCTAAGCTAACGTTGTAGCTGCTCCGTCCACACGCACACACACACACACACACACACACACACACACACACACACACACACACACACACACACACACACACACACACACACACACACACACACACACACACACGCACACACACACACACACACACACACACACACACACACACACACACCACACACACACACACACACACACACACACACACACACACACACACACACACACACACACACACACACACACACACACACACACACACACACACACACACACACACACACACTTCAAAGTATTGCTTGTTCATACAGTTGAATGTTGGAGCTTCACTGTGCACTGCTGAATGATGTATGTGCAGAGTTGGACCCTTGAAGGCTGTTTCTTCTGCTCTGAAATGGAATATATTTGTTACATATTAATAGAATTTTGGATTTTTTTATTTGATTTTGGATTTGTGAATGGGAGAAGTAGTAGATAGAAAACATACCAAACACTAATTATTCAAAGTAGAGTATTTCATTTTATATACGGTAATACTAAGGAGGCATAGGCCTATATGATGATAATGTTTGACATTATTGATATTAAAAAAGTGATTTGTTTTCCATATCATTCGTGTGTTTTTCTTATCAGAAAGTGAAGTTTTTTATTTGTAAGCTCCAAATCCTAATGTTTCCCTCAATGGCCTTTGTGCGCTGGTATGTGGCCTTTCCGCCCTGAAAAAATGTGTGCCCAAAAAATGACGAAGATCCAAGCCTGCTGGCTACGCATCACTCATTCACCAATGGGTAATGTTTAGATGGATTTTAGGAACTTCCCCTCGATTCTATTGGCTCCAACGGTTAAAAAGGTGTCAATCATCAAAATTGACCAAGGGGAGCCATAGATATGGAAAATGTACCCAAATGACCCCAGAAGTGTTTTTTGTCCCTAAATCTCTCTTAAAAGGTCAAATGTCACTTGTTCTGCATCAATCTTGATACAGGGTACTTATATGTTATAGTTTGGATTTCTAAAGCTTTTAGTCTACTATCCCATCATTCAAGGGTGGTTTTCTCTATAAGTAATCGTTTCTTTTTGGACGGACACTATAATTTAATTTGTTTTACTATGTTCAATCTGAATTTACTTTAAAATAAAAACATCTATATTGATTCTGACTCTTCTACATCCAACTCACAGGTTTATCATTGCTTTGAGAAAAAAGATTATTAATTTACCCCTTTTAGAAGTGAAGTTATGGTCATTTGTTCTGGGCATGTCATTTTTGAGCCTGAGGCCTGAAAAACAGGCTCAGGGCTTAACAGTTTAAATAGTTTTTATTTTGCTCCTACTGTCTGAAAATAGCTTAACTGTATTCACCCTTTGTCCAATACATTATTTTAGCCCTTTTTAACGGCATTGCTTTGCTAGTTAACAGCTTCGGTCAATGTTAACTTCCTGTCATCTTATTACTTACACTGCAACAGGGGTTATGTACATTGATATGATAAAATGACAGAAATTATACGGTAACTTTTTGGAAAAAGATAAAAATAAAAAAATATTTTCAATTAAATAAAAATAAAAAACAAAGAAAGAGGTAATCAAACAAATGATAATGATTTGTTAAGGACAATATTTAAAGGGAAATTCAACAGTTTATTTCAAGTTGAGTATTATCTGAAGTTTTAGCCCTATTTAAGAGAACATGTTATATTCCCTACAGGTTCTGGGCATCAGGGCTGCCACACAATGTCACAGACTTGTTAATGAAAGGATACTGCAACCCGCAGGGACAATGGGCACAAAGCAGGGATACTGCTGCTAAACCCTGGATCTGTGAGATATAGATTGTGTGAATGATTTGATGAGGTTGGGTAGTG